AAAAATATGGGAAGGAGGGAGAGTCTAGATTTAACTGGGTAAGAGATGGCAATAGCAGGGGGTCAATATGGTGGAAGGATATATGCGGGCTTAATGTTATTGATGAGGAGAATAGGGGATGGCTAAAAGAAGGATTGAAACTGAATGTGGGTGAAGGAGTAGATGTAAAATTCTGGGGGGACAACTGGAAGGAGGGGGAGAGTTTTGCTAACAAATACCTGAGGCTTTATTCATTGTCAACAGGAAGAAATAATCAAATTTCACAAATGGGGAATTGGATCAATGGAGCTTGGAAGTGGAACTTACAGTGGAGGAGGTGCTTGCATAGCTGGGAGAAGCAACAGGAGGAAGAGCTGCAAAGGGAGATCCAAGAAATTAAAATCACAAGAGGAAAACTAGACTTGAGGGAGTGGGTCCACAACAACGAGGGGAGATACACAACGAGGACAGCTTACCAAATTCTGACAAAGGAGAATAGTTCAAATAAGCAAGGAGTAGTGCTTCACAAAGCCTGGAATGTGTTTATCCCCAGCAAGATAGCGGCTTTCTCATGGCAAGTGTTGCAAGATAAAATACCAACAAAACTCAATCTGTTAAAAAGGGGGATCATACGAGATATGGGAGAATGCAAATGTGTCTTTTGTGGAGTTGCATTGGAGGATACCAGCCATTTGTTCATCCATTGCAAAGTAGCTTATAGCATATGGAATGCATGTTTTAAATGGTGGGGAGTAAAAACTGCACTGGATAGGGACTGCGGTAAGGTGCTGGAACAACATCCAAATTTGATTAAAACTAAAGGGGAAAAGAAGGGGTGGGAGTGCATCTGGTTCTCTATTTTATGGTCAATTTGGTTAGCTAGAAATTAAAAAGTATTTAGAGGGAAAGATGCAGATAGAGATAGGATTGTGGAGCTTGTTCAACTAAGGGCATTCAACTGGATAAAATGCAAAGGGGGAGGAGGTTTTTTCTCATTGGCGAACTGGTTCCACAACCCGGCTGGTTGCTTGGAGATGAGCTATGGCAACAGAAAAAGAGCATTAACAGTGAAAAATGAAGAAATTGAAAAAAGAGACAGAAACCCGTCACGGATGTGGTGTCGACACCAAATTTCAACACATAATTTTGGTATCGACACCATATGGTAAGCATCAGAATTCATTGGGTTTGATCAGAACGTGAGAAATGGAGAAATTGCAAAAAGAGGACAAAAATCCGACACGGGTGTGGTGTCGACATCAAAATTTGACACATAATTTTGGTGTTGATACCATACTGCAGGCATCAAGATTCCGACACGGACGTGGTGTTGACACACAATTTTGGTGTCGACACCACACAGAAGGGCTAATTGACTCATGTAATTTATACCTTTCAAGTTGAGATGTTAATGGGTTTGGGATACCCCTTGTACTTTGTTTTTTTTTTTTTTAATAATAAATATTACTTTTGCCGTTCAAAAAAAAAAAAAAACTAATACTATCGTAGACATATAAAGGCTTTGATTGAAGCCCTGAAAATCTAAAAACTAAAATATGTGTAGTTACGTATCTAGAAAACAAAGTCCATTCTTTAATTTCTGAAACTCAACTTTTAAGGATGATAAAGGGATAGGGGAGGTCGACGTCATTCAAGGAGGGCATCAAAGACGCTTGGGAGGTGTAGGTAGTAGTGGCTGGTGCTAGAGTGGCTCAAAAATCCTAACATCTTAAAAATTAAATCCACTAAATCCTACAAAATTGAAAAACTAGCCTTCTAAAAAATTAACCCTAAAAAATCTAAAACCTTGTGTCTGAAACCCTATGTAACTGCCCAGCCAATTATTGATAGTGCTGATTAAAAAGAAAAAAAAAAGCCAATTATTGATACTGCCTATTTTGGCACATTAGATCTCATAGTTTTAAACGCATCAATAGATATTAATAGATGTTGACCTATCTACCAAGTATCTTGCTTGTGCATTGTCAATATGAGATTTGTTTAGGGGTATCACACCCTAAACCAAAAGGAAAAAAAATTCTAAACCCTGAAATATTTAAATGTTAAACCCAAAATTACCTAAATTATGAATTATAAAAATTAATGGATTGAAATAAATTATATCATTAAACAGGTTTTTTTTTCTTTGGTACTCTTATGGCACAACTTGATGACATATTTATCGCACTTTTTATCATTAATATATATAAACTATTCTCTCCATTCAACTATAATAAGCCTAATTTTTAAAATAAAATAAGAATGTAATAATTTTTTGATTTTGTTTTAAGGACAATTTATATTTTTACCTATATTACTATTAAAAAATAATGATAAAGAAAGATTTTTTTTATGATATAATATATGGTATTAACAACCACTTAAAATATAAAAAATGAATTGAAAAGTTAAGTTTTAATGATTAAAATAGGAGTCACAATATACCCAAATAGTAGTGGAGTAGGTCACCATGGTTTGTGAAAGATTAGAGTTCGAAAGTTCAATAACGAGTGAGGAAAGGTATATGGGTACTTCGTAGTCCTTCATGTAAAACATGGTTGCATATTTTAAATTTGGGGAGTAAATTTGACTAATTAAGTTTTCTTTTTTAAGGTTTTATTAAATGTAGTCAAGAGTGGATGGATGAAATTGAGACTCTTTTAAAGTTTTAGACTTAAATGAAATAAGCGAAAAACATGCACACCCAAATGAAATAAAAAGAAAATGAAGGACTGGATTGATACATATCAGAAGACGAGGACTGCAATATCACATTATGCAAACAGGGGGACAGAAATGCAAACATTCAAAATTTAGGGACTAATACGCACAACTTTGAAAAGTTTAAGACAATTGAAGAAAGAAGGAAATTAAGGACTGAATTGCACAAAATTGGGATCCTTTTGGGTCAAACTCGAATTTTTAGAAATTTAAGAAAATTTTGACCTTTTCGAGGGATGACTTTGACCTTTGACCACATTTAATTAATTATATTCCATTAAAATCAATTAAACTTCAATTAATATAATTAATGATGATTAATTAAAATTAATTAAGAATAATTAATCACTTAATTAGATTCCATTTGAGTAATTCAAATATTGATTTAAACTAATTGAAATCAATTAGGGTAATTAATTGTAATTGAAATTTTCTAAGTCCTTAAAAATGTATGTAATAAATTTTTATATGAAAATATAAATGTAAAAATTATTTTTAACATTGATGTTATGTGAATGATTCTGTTTTGGTAATTAATAAATTTAAAGCTAACTACTATAAATTTTCATTCAAATTAATTATAAAAAAATATAATTAATACAACTCTTTTTAGTGTGTGTCATATTGTGTGCCAAAAGGTATATGTTAAAAAAATCCATAGTAATTAATTAAAATTGAGTTTCTTCTAATTTATAAGTCACAAATTAATGGTATCTATTCATCATAATTGTATGCAGAAAAATATAAAATCTAATATTAATTTTACCATTGTTATTAAGTGGATGAATTTAATTAAACTATCGATAACTCGAAGATTAATTTTTTATTTTTTTAACACAAATTTAAGATAAAAATATATATTTATTATACTATCAATTTGCATCTTAGGGATGCAGAATAGAAAACCCCATTAAAATTAAGCGAAACTATTTAATCAACACTTTCCATAAAAAAATATTAATCAATATAAGTTTTTCAATTCTATGCCCTTAATTACAGTCCTTAACTTTATAGGGTGTAATTAATATATTTTTTAGTTTTTAATTTAAGGCTTTTTAAAGAATGTTTCTCAATAATTTAGCCCTTAATTTTTATGCTACAATTACAACTTAGTCATGTCAAAATAAGCCTTACATGAAAAATTGTAAAACTTGCTATTCATTTTAATAACAATGTTGTCAACGGACCTAAATAGTTTTAATGGTAATCTCTACTAATTTTATAAAATAAAAGTAAAATTTTCAATTTTTAATACAAATTAATTAGTAAAATGTGTATTAATTGAGTTCAATTTAGACTAACTTAATGGAATATTTTTAAATTGAATCAATTGAGGTTTCCTCGGTTTTTCGGGCTTCAGCCCATTTTCTCTCTTGGTTTTCTTTTTTTCGAAATTCAAAACCCGACCCAAAACAGCTTAAGCCCCAAGTTAAACGGATCTATTCGACCCGACAAGATGAACAGGCCAGAACGGATCAAAAGCAGGCGTCAAACACACATACTTCTTGTTCTTCAAAGATTCAAAGACAAAAAAAACCTTAAATCGATCAATCTACCGGAAATCCGGCGGAATCTATTGATTCCGGCCTGACTCGGGCTAGAATTTCAGAATTCTAGCTGGGAAAAAAAAAAAGAGACAAATGCAGAAAAAATCCCATAAATTCGCAGATGATACAGGGATCCAAATCACAGTAAAATGAAGGATTTCAAGGTTAAGTTGGTCCCTCAATACAATCAATAAGCAATTTTTAAGAAAAGGATTGCACAAAAATAGCAATACTTTAAAACTTAAAATTTGTTTTACAAGTCAATTAAAAAAAAAACTATTAAATAGAGTCTCATTATTAATAACTCAGCGCCATCTCATAAATATAGTACAATATAATCTAAATTATAGGAGATTTTTTAATTAAAACTTCACTAAAATTTCTTGATGGAAATTACAAAATGCACACTAATCGTACCTTAGGATTGCAATTCCACTATTAGATTCAAGCTCCGGGGAAATCGACGCCGAAAAAGTCACCAGAATCTTAGAATCAGAGAGAGAATGAAAGCCCCCAAAGATCCCCTTTTGTGGCTGTCGGCCAACCCCCTCTCTTAGTCTCTTTTGTTCACCGTTTTTCACCTTCCCTCATCTTCACCATTAAATTCTCTCTTCCCTCCATCTCCACCTTTGCA